CGCATGCAGGATCTCACCAATGGAATGTGTTACTTTGGAGACGCGAAAAACGGATACTGGAATTGTCACGGAAAATAAATATTTAAATGTTTTCTAATAAACGTGCCCATTTACCTGTTGGTTGTGCTACTTATTCATGACCCTGAAAACTGAAAGTAACTTTGTTACAGTGTATCATACTAAGAAATTAATTACTGAAGTTTTTAAAATTGTAAATGAAACTGCTTATGACTGTAAGATTAAGGTTCCCGACTAAGATCTCTATTCTCCCTAGTCTAATTTTGTCGTGTGTCGTTTGCATGGCACCTGATGATTTTTTTTCGATACTAACACCAAATCATACATTTAAGTAACCTCTTCCAAGCAGCAAACCTTGAAAATATAAATACGCATGCAAGCATATCAGATAGTATTTAGTTTTTTCTTTTCTTTTCGCGTGTCGTGTTTTTCACAGATACGTTTTATGATGGTTTGTTTGTTGTTGCATTTTACGTTTTAATGGACGGCCTGACCGTTTCATGAAGGAGTCTTCTGATAATCTGTTACGTACTTTGCAGGTGGAATGAAGGGCGTCTCATGTCCAACGTCACGCTCGCTGTGCACTGAGCATCGAACATTTTTTTTAATGGCAAGATATCTGACCTCCTAATCCCGTCAATTTATCAGCGGTGTATATCTCACCGTGATGAGAAGCCCTTTTTTAATCATTCGTCAGCAGTTCTCAGATTTCACTCAGAAATACTGAGACCTGGTTCAGCTTTCACGCAAAGATCAGTCCCTGTTTTACACTCCACCCAATGCCAACATCCACCTCCATTACTTAGTAATTGATGTATGACTCTGTGCGACTCATACAAGTCATCTGTCAAGATAAAGGGAGCTGAACTAAAGCATACCTCATTCTGTCATACCCTTATATTACGATAATAGTGCGTAATCTGGGTCTACCGAGTTCTTCTGTTAGATCGGATTCTTGAACATACAGATTTCATCTTACCATCAACCATCCTCTTGTCTGCATTTAATACATTAAACTGATATACATACACCTAGATTGTACGGGCGAAGTCTTTGCATTTTCCTTTCACACTATATTAACTAATCATTCAAATACCGAATTAAACTGCATATAGTTTGGAGACCCTGGGATCCTAATCTGAAAACGCTGTTTTGAAAACGTATTCACATATGTACACAAAAATAACAAAACGTTTCTGTTTTTCTCTGCAAATTTAGCGTGTGAGAATGTAATTTTGGCGTTGACTGGGACTGTTGTGCTAGTCACCAATATCAATTTCAAATTTACCAGCTGATAAACCGTACTTATGCAATGCATACAACGGACACGTTTTTATCATATTTGTCTGGGTTGTGTAGAAATATTTTAGCCTTATTCCATCTAAAAGAAGGTCAAGGATAATAGTTGTGCCCAGTAAATAAATGTAATATTATTAAGCAGTGAAATCAGTCATTTTAGTGCAGTGTATATTTTTAAAAATCCTCTTTCAAAGATGAAGCAGCAGAAACAGGCATAGGCTACTGATAATCTCATTTTAGCTACATCTCTTGGAAAACACACTACCCAACAGAATATTTAAAAGATGAATATGTAAATAAATTCCAGTAACTTATGAGGATGATTCGACCTAAATTCTTCATCGTGAAGCATGCAAGGAAGAAATGCTGATTTGCAATGCTCTACGAAGAGTGAAGTCTGAATTACGTTATAATTTTGATCTTTAAAAATGATTAAGCATATATGGGTCAAATGTAATATACAACCACTGGCCTCAAATATTTAACAATAACATTTTTACAAGTCCCATCAGTGGATTTTATTCAAGTAAATCAGTAGATTTAAGGTCAAATTCAAAAGCAAAATCAATGCCAATAACCTTTTTGAACATTTTTATTGTTTATACATTTTTCAGGAAATTCATTTTTTAAAAAAAAAAGAAGTCTTGGATGATTTCTACAGTACATATGAAAAGCTAAGTGAATATAGACTGTAATTCTACCAGTTCTACCTATAATGTAATGCGCTCAACTTACAATAAAATCCTTCCAGTGGAACATTTGTTGAGATGTTATCAGCTCTCTAGGATAATAACATCCATCTTCTGTAACACCAGGAAGTGTAAGGAAAATGAAAACATGGTTGGTTTAATTTGAAGAGGCAGAGCAGCGAAATCATCCAGTGATCGTGTGATTCAAGCTCATTTTCCGCACTGTAACTCCAGTGTGGTTTGAATGTAACTTCCTTCCTTCTGCTCTCATTCAGTAACTCAGCTACAGTGTCCCTTGCAGTGCTGGTTTTGCACTCTGGTGCATCACTGAAATCACCAACATGGAGGCACTAATTCACTGGTAAACACTGCAAAGATTATTCGCTGTGCATTTCAGAGCATGTGAAACGGACACCCTTGGATGGTCCTTATACTGATTTAAAAGAAGTACAAAAATTGCACTGATAACTGAGGTAATAGAAGGAGTATTTATTAAAAGTGATTCAGTAGTAAATTTGAATTGACCAACTTTGACAAAGCTAATGGTATTGCGGAGTTCTGTCTTGCCCAGTGTTACATCAATTTTATCTAGCTATTCTATTACAAAAAAGAAAAACATTCAAAATAAACAGAAGGGTAATTAAAAGGCGGGCATGCTGAGAAAGGAGTATGCTGAGGTCACCTTCTAATCCCAGCCATTGCAGTAGATTGTTGCTTAATATATTGATTTAAAAGAATCTATAAATGCACTTCAGCCACTGAACATCTCTTTGGGGAAGTTCAAGTTCTGGTTCTACCAAAAGTAGAACTGTTTGTAATAGTAACATTGCAACAGAAGTTGACTGCAACACTGTATCACTCCTTTGTGTTTCTGCACAATACTTTGTCAAAGCATCTGTAAGAACTCTAGCTGGGTCGTATTCTGAGAAGGTTCAGTCAGAAGGTGCTCATCTTTGACAAGACAATTTACATCTTTGCACACATTTGTTACCCTCGAGGCAGTGACCACGAATTGCAAGTCGCTTGCCAGCATCTCAACTCCTTTCTGCCTGTGAGCATTTCCTAAATATTGCGGGTACATGGATTTCAGCTTTATGATTGGTGATAAACAGAAATGGAGTATTTGAAGACCTCTGCAATGATAATCATTCATGAATCCCTTTTAAGGTCTGTATAAGGAGCTAATGATGAATAACAAACCAATATGAAAATCAGTAACGAGTGAAAGTTTTTGAAAACTGTGTTTAAAAACAAATCTCATATGGTACTACCAAAATGTTAAGTATTGGGTCCATCATCAGGACCATAAAAGAACCAAGAACTTCATGAATTTGGTCAGCTGAGTGTGAAAAACTGCAAATAGCTAACATTTGTACTAGGATAAATTATAATAAAAACTAACACTGTCTCAATAATAAACAAATAAGTAAATATAAAAGGATTAAAAAATTGTTTACAGCATGAGTACTGTTTAGAAGAAAACCCAAAATAAAACAAAATATTGCTAAATCTAAATCTGACATTAAACCAACTCTTGCACTGTTTTGCTTGGATAGGAATTTAGCTATCATTAAAAAAAGAGATCACAAATAGAGCTTTCATAAAAAGAAGATTATCAATATCTCCACTATAAATTAGACAGAATAGCCAGCACATACAATTCCATTGTATGCTACTGTAACTTGGTAAAATCAAGATAATCTACCTGTAAGTGACAATAAAGTTCATATAGTATTAATTAGTTTGCGCAATTCAGTAACTTTTCCTGAAAATAAAAAAGACAGTCTAGGAAGATTTTAATGTTATGATTTGAATTCCCAGAGTGTGTTGAGTTTGTACAGTAAATGGGTGAGAATGCAAGTATAATACAAGCACACCTTAAAGTAAAAAATAAGAAAATAATTTCAAGGCAAGAACGGGCTGATTAAACTTATTTAAAACTCCATCGGGTAAACACAAATGATAAACATCACATAAGGGTCAACCACTACTGGCTTGTGCACGTTTACTGCAGATTAGCCCACACAGTGCACTAGATAAATTCCCACATGACCACATACCTATGCAGAACTTAAAGCAGATTAACAGTTAATAAACAAACAAATAAAAACTGGTATTGGCAGCTAATTAGCACTTTTTTTCCAGGATAGAAGAGAAATTAAATAAATAGATAATAACACATTATTATTAGGACCATTTAATGTTGTTCTCTTACATATATAATAAATATATTTGGTAAATAATATGTACTTTTACTTGGAATTACTCATTAATTATTACTAGATGTGACGTTTCATAAAAATCACTTGTAACAATACACTTATACCGCACTTCTTTCTTACGAGTATTACAACAACCAGACATCAACTACAATAACAACAACAACAACAACAAAACGTTATGAATATTAAATCACGACAACCTGCCTGTGCGTTAGAAATATCCATTCACATATCATTGAATCAGGGCCAGCCCACCCTATGGACGACATGGGCGATTACCAAGGGCGCCATTTGATTGGGGGCGCAAAAGAGCGAGTGAAAAAATCATAAGAAATACCTCTGGTTGCATTCCGTGACATTACAGTTAGACTAACTTTAATATTTCACAACCTTTCCTATGAAACAGATGCGAGCTAGCTAGTTAGCCAAATACCCTGTGCTATTGAGATATTTCAATTGTAATGAGCTGACAAAATTTATTTTCTGTTGCTCTGGGGGGGGCGCCCAGCAAAATCTTGCCTATGGCGACAGAACACCCAGGACCAGTACTGCCCTGAATATACGCAAGGTTTCAAACGAGAGACCGAGACGCCCGCGTTCACGTTCGGCCAGTCAGACGCGCGGCGGCAGTGTTAGTAAATAAAGGTAGCCTGTAATTAGAGCAAGCATCACACCACATTCAGTCTCAAAGCCCCACCCAAGGAAACACCTCAGAGCGGTGTGCCAGGAAGTGCGGCGTTTTCAGCGGACACGCTAGCGAAGCCAAGGCAGACATGCACGATGTTCCTCATACAAGAAAGATTAACAATGCCACTAGTCTTTGGTAGGCGTATATATAGGTTTATATGTAACCTGGTCATTGGTGTTGATTAGTTATTTACGGTCTTCTGCTGAATTTCAATTTGATACTATTATTTGTTTTTTAAAAATATATTTTTAAGAAAAACATATTCGGTTATCCATATCTTATCTACAGGTAAGATAAAACAGTCTTTTTTGCCACATCACCAATCGCACTTCCTGCTATTTAAGTAACAGATGAAGTTGAAAAAGACAAAGTAGCACAATATTCAGGTGATAAGAAAAAGAGAAGTAATTTCATTTAAAGTGTCACTGCATCTGAATTTTCTTAAATCATATATACGGATATCGAAAATAAATAATGTAACTTGCACGTATAGAAAATGTAATTGGTTTTGTTTATATGACGTAATATCGCAGGCCATGGAGAAAGAACTTGCGCGTCCTTAATATGGATAGCTTTCATTCTACCGTAAATCGTAACCCTCGGTCATATAAAGTATAATTCTATATTAAGCAATAATCGTAATAAGTTTTGCTATTTATTTGCTATTTAAAATAGTCAAGTTAATAGATGCAATCATACAGATATACATACGTTTTTTTTTAAAAAAAGATGTAATGAAAAATCAGCAACATAAGAATGCAAAAAAGCTTCCTCAGATGTTTTTTTCTTTAAAAAAAAAAAAAAGATCTATCGTCTGTGAAATCAGAAATAGCACACCCATGAAAGTGGCATACATTCCAGAGCAAAACTGTCTAGTCAGACAACTGGAAATAAGGCGTGCAGAGTCATGTCAAGGACGTTACTTAAAAGCAAAAACATAAAGCTTACCTATCTGATACTCTGATTAGATTCCAGCATGTATATACTGTAGAACGAAAACAGTACATTAACACCGACTTAACTGCGTCCATTTCTAGCTTTTATTTGCTTGCTGCTTTGTTTGCTTGTTTGTTTGTTTGTTTGTTTGCTGTCCTCCTTCTGCAAAAATGTAATTGAAAATTTAGGGAAGCAGTGGATGACCGAGTTAACGAATAAATACGTATATTATTCCTTAATACGTGACAAAAATAGCATTACGTAATCACTTTTTCAAAGGCTCAGTAATTTTTAATCTTGGACAGATTGATTCTCCCGCCTCCAAGTTTTATATTATTTTGTCTGCCGCCTTTAATTACTATCTTGGGGCACAGACAAGTAATTGAAAGACTTACTCCCCTTGATGTCATAACCAATAACGTTACACCTACCTAAATTCTTGAAATAGGACATGAAGCGTTACCCACGTGAAGTGAGTCTTGAACTTGCAGTAGGCTACTTATTTATTTGATGTCCGTGTTACTGGCATCAGTGGCGCCTCTAGTGCTCGGTCTTCTTTCGTTTCACTCCCTAATTCCACCAGACACGAGTCCGTTATTTATGCCGTTTTGAGGACATAATAATTCATGTTTTTATATTGCATTATTTACTCAGAATTTTACGCAGCGTACTTCTCGGGCGAAAAGAAAAGAAAACAAAGAAAAATCTGCGGTTATATAGAAGTTCCTTATATGCATATTATCAAAGACGGTCAATTATTGGCTTACAGCCACGATTTAGAACATATAAGGAAAAAAATAAACAACAAAACACGAATGATTCATTGATTTATTATTTCGTTGGACCGTTATTCATTCGATACGATATTATAAATACTACTGTCCTCATCAATTCAGATACGGTATTCATCAAAAATAAACACAAAATACATTTAAAAAACGCAGTACAGGATTGATCAATGCAACAATATTTCGATTATTTCCTGAGGTATCTGAAGGCTATTAAAGGAATGATATTTATACAAAATATTTTTGCAAAACTTATGCAAGATAAATTTTGAAACTTGGGATTAAATATTTTTTTTGGTTTTATTGGTATGTCGGACCATATAAAGGTGACATAAAATTGCGTAAATTTTACAATAGCCACGTTTACATTCATGGTAAACTGTAATTAAAAATAATCGGGAAACTTTTGTTCTCTGTTCAAAGAACCAACACTTGAATATCAGGTCTGTAAGCTGAAATGATATTAGCTCCCAAAACAATTTATAGTTCAGTCAATATAAGGTTTATTTCTGACATCTAATATAGCTAAAAAAAATAAAACGATTTATTACAATTTACCCCAAAGCACACATACTCTGTCTTTTTTTTAACAATTTCATTTACAATCGTTACAAATATGAGATCTAAAAGCATGCTTGTACGTAATACGTACAATACGTAACAAAGCAGTGGAGCACCGCAAACCAAACGAAACAAAAAATAAGCGTAATAAAACTAAAAAATAATTCCGGCGTCGCCCAACCCCGATAAGCTGTTTATTCGCGAAAGCACCAACATACAGCCGTATACAGTAGGCCTATCGACCAGTGTGCACACAAAGAGCAGAACAAACGAAAAATCAAGGACAAGAACAGCAGGAGATTTTATAGGAGATGAAATATCTTACTGGTGATGTAAGGTGGCCCTTTGCACTTGAATTATGGCACAGAAGATTTAGCTGAGCTGAAGGGGACGCTGCCTTCTCTCTCTCCCTGTCAGAAGTATTAGCAGTCTTGATATATTGTCTGGCTCTACATTACCTTTATAAAACATAAGCGCATATCACCCAAGCCAGGACCACAGCGGTATATCGAAGAAAACGGTCCAAAATAAGATAGACGGAGTACACAGTCTAATAAACTATTTCATCTATACATCTCGACGTTTCCTAACATTATTTCCTTACTAGGCGCCTTTTAAAACCACGCTTTAAAATCCAAAAGAGAGAAAACCTCCTGTGCTTTTTCTTTCGTCATACCGATACGCATGCATCACCTGCCGACGGATCCGGCCGAATCGCTTAAACGGTCCGAAAATGCTCGTATTTTAAATGTATTTGGAGACCTCGTTAGTTTGTTCTTGTTCGTGTTTAGATCTAGTAGTATATGGCCAAACGACCAATTTAGAAAAAAAAAATGACAAGAGCATAACGCGTTATAATTCAGCTGGGCTCCTCCTCCCGGCCATGCCTTCTAATTAATGGGGCTCCCTACTTGCAAAACCCTGCATTGGACTGCAACATTGTCAAAGAGTGAAAGAGAGAGGGTGAAAGTGCCACTGGAGATAATTGATTACCTCCCAATCAACAATAACTTGTTAGTGATAGTCAATTCTGGCGACTCTTCGAGCCTCGCCATTTCAGGGAAGTGCCATTTTCCTACGGACTGCCACACGTCGTGGGGGAAGCATTACTGCCAAAGAAAGCTTGGATCGAAAACGAGGAAATACGGAATTTAAAATACAGAAAATAAAATAATTTACCCTGATGACAAACCACACAGCATGCTATTTGATTCGGCGACTATAATCTGACGTTTTTCCGTTCTTTATCCTGTTGTTTGCCAGAGTTTATGTTTGTTTGATTAGCAGGAATATATTTGTAATTTTTCAACTAAGTCTGCATAGCTGTAGCGGAAGAATGACATCCAAAGAAGAGGCAAAAGCTTCTGCGGTTGAAGAAAGACGACGAAGTCCGTTGGACCATCTTCCGCCGCCTGCCAACTCCAACAAACCCCTAACCCCATTCAGTATTGAGGACATTCTTAGCAAACCCTCGGTTAAGCGAAGTTACACACTCTGCGGCACAGCACACCTGATTTCTTCTGCAGAAAAACACCCTCAGTCGGGTCTTCCCTTATCCAATCGGGCACTGCTCACCCAGACGTCTCCTCTTTGCGCCCTCGAGGAACTAGCCAGCAAAACCTTCAAAGGACTTGAAGTAAGCGTTCTTCAGGCGGCAGAAGGTATGTTTCGATTATCTTCGAAATTATTGCAATCGGTGAATAATTCAGAGACATGTTTAGCGTTGAAATAGCAACGCTAAAACAAAAATAGTGAACCGAAGTCCTTAGAAAATACGAAAAAATGTTCAAATCTTACTACTGTAAGTTGACATGTTTGTACAGCCTTATACTTATTTAATTCATTTATTTTGATCAGCAAACCGCTTAACAGTTAATAGGCCTATGTAAAAAAATTAACGCAAAGAAAGTCAATTAATTATTTAAGGCCTGCCAGGTTATCATAATGTAGTACTCTGCTCTTTGTGTTTTTAGAACATACACTTGCACACTAAAAAAACTCCGTTCGCACAGAATAATTGTTTACCATTGATGATTTTATGATTGCATTGAAGTTGACTAAGGCGGTGTAAATTGATAGTTGAATCTGATTCAGAATCATAACTGTTATAAGCATATATTATGAAGGGAGAAATTTGAAAAAATAATACACTACATGCAGAACACAAACAAGCTTTTTAAATGTAACCATCAGGAATTACAAATTACACTATTTATACACGACTTCTTTATGTTTTCGCTACGTGATTATTTTAGTTATGAAGTATTTGGAAAACTTTGCGTGCTAACGACTTTTAATTCGGCCTGCATTATTTTTAGTGAATAATATTCTCGTGGGATGTACATATATGCAATATCAAACAGGTAATGTCAGTTTAATTTATCTTCACAGGTCGCGACGGAATGACCCTATTTGGGCAAAGGAACACGCCCAAAAAGAGAAGAAAGTCCAGAACAGCCTTCACGAATCATCAGATATATGAACTGGAGAAAAGATTCTTATATCAGAAATACTTGTCCCCAGCTGACCGAGACCAAATCGCTCAGCAGCTCGGGCTAACAAACGCCCAAGTCATAACCTGGTTTCAGAACCGCAGAGCGAAGCTGAAGAGGGATTTGGAAGAAATGAAAGCGGACGTAGAATCGGCCAAAGCTATTGGTTCGGTACCTTTGGAAAAAATCGCCAAACTCGCAGACCTCGAGAAATGTGCCAACGGAACACTGGGACACTCGCGGTCCGAGTCGCCAGCGTTGTCTGCACAGGAGCAGGAGATCTCAAACAAATTGCGAATGTCCCCGCTGTCCCCGTTCACAGACCACACAACAAGCAAAGAGTGTTCAGAAGACGAAGACGTGGAAATTGACGTGGACGACTGATAGATTATTTCAGAGCCACTTAAATGATAATAACAGCAACAACCATTATTCATAACCATTGTTGTTATTATTATCATTGTATCACAAGAACTATGAACTTAAACTGACATTTTGTTGACGAAAATATTGAAAGCAAAGCATGAACGATTCGTAGCGCTATACACAGTGACAGAGATATTATTCTGATCCTTCCTCTGTATTTAATCAAGACGACAGTCTTCAGTAAAAGCAATAACCAGTGTATTTAAAGAGCCGTCTCAAACGAAGGACAAAGCAAGGACTTTGACTGAATTATGTGCGTTTTTGAACAGACACGCACACCGGTACATTCACTTGTTTGCTCATATGTTGGTAATCTCATAAAGTATTTTTATCGCTCCATTATCGAACCTTTTTCAGCTTTTGCATGATATATAAATGCATGTTTAGTTTTCATAAATGTATTCTCTTTTGTTTAAAACTTTACAGCTTGTTTGTTTTTTTTTGTTTTTTTTTAATTTATCCAAAATTCCATTTCCCCACGTGCGTATGCGGGGCGTGTGTGTGTAAGTGTGTCTGTGCGTGTGTGTGTGCATTTAGGCTATTTGCATATTCAGCCACGCAGCATAACACTTATTTATACGGTATTGCATGAATCGAAAGGGTGATTGAAGTGAAGCGTTTGATCGACGAACGTACAATAAAGTTTCAGACAAGAACATGGGGTAAAATTATTCAGAAAAAAATCTATCGCGGTGATTTTAACAAGCTGTCGATTAATTTACTTTTCAGTAGTTCTAAATTCCTTTGTTTGAATACAATAAAGTAATTTACATTTTAATAGATTTACTATGTTTTGTATGCCTGTAAGTGCCTTTTTAACCCAGGACACTATTTAAACCAATGTAAAATGCGTAATGTATATAACATGAAAATAAAAAATCCCTTTTCTCAGAATATTTCAGTTTGTTGTATTATGATAATTGACGTATTGTTTAATTTAGGAGCAGTAGTAACATTTCTGGGCTTTGTGGAATAAGGCATTATTAAATAGTGTCGTTAAAGCAGTATTAGATCGAAATAAATTACTTTTGTTTATTTATATTGTAAATTTTTATTTTATAAATATATAAACTTACAATTGCCTTTTCCTAATTTCGTTGATTTTTTGCAATAGCAACAAATTCATTGTAGTTTATCTATAAGCATACACCATAACGTCAAAACCGAAAAGTGCTTAGGTAATTTATTTTGTATATATTCGCAAAAGGAGTAAACAGCAAAAAGTGCTTATTTTAAGTATAAATGTTTTCAATAATATTTAAATACAGAAAGTTAATTCTAGTTTTAAGTTGTCGACATCTCGTCGTCTTTACTGTTTTTTTGCTTTTGAAAATATCCATTTCTCTAGCGCGGCATCCTTCCCTTTTCACATTGTAAAAGCGTAACCTGCCTTCTTGACCCGGCAACGTGTGTTTTCCTATTCTTAACGAAATTTATGTGAGAAACACAAATCTGGTCCTGGGAGAAAAAAAGAGTGGATGCCACAAAAAAACACAAAGTTTTGGGCCAGTTTCTCTAAGGCTATATAATTCCTCTTTGAAAAGGGGTGAGGCTGTAATTTTTAGCGTAAAGCATGAAAACTGGGGACAAATGAGCAGTCTTCCCCGATGTGACAAGGGACAATGGGCCATGCACAGTTTCCCGCAGCTCTCAATACTGAGACAAGTGTGTCCCACTGCACAAAAAGGACACAAACGTTTGGAGGCCATATGGTTTTTGTATTTTCTTCACAAATTTTAGACAATTTGATGGATTGAGTTAACCCTCTTTTTAAACTGTTTAACTCCATTTTACAAAAGCTATAATGCATACATAGGCCCTCTCTTCACGAGGGCATCTGTGTCCATTAATGCCGACTCCTTTCTTTGCCTGTTTAGCTTGGCATTTTAAACAAGTCTATGAATTACAATGAAACTCGCTCTTTTTTTATAAAGCACTTGTCTCTTTCCCTTTTTAGGGGCTTGAAATAATACGGCTGACTTTTATCCAGAGATTTTTTTAGGTCCCGCATCTTGTGGCGAAAGTGTTTTTCATGTTAAGTAGGGGAGTCATAAAATGTTTAAACAGTGACATTTATGCGAGTGTCTGGTAAATGGGAGTCTTTTGTTTGTTTTCTTTTCCACTCTATTTCTTTTTTCTCTTTATGCCCTTTGTCTTTAGAGAGTTTAATGAAGCTGAAAACATGATGATGTGAGAAAGAGTATCCAAGAGAAGAAAAGGATTCTGTGATCAAGGAAGGGCCACATTCAACTTCAGATTTCTTAAAAAGAAACGAAGTGCCACGCGGATGCATTCCTGCTAGTCACGCACGTGATTAGGTATATGGACTTGTTTAATTTTGTTAGGCGGCATCTAGTTTCTGCTTGTTAGAGAATAACGGTTATTGGACCCAGGCTAAATGTTACTAAAAACCTGTCATATCTCAAGAAGTTCAAAATAAATTGCAACAAAATAATTTTTGACCATTAATAAAAAGCAAAATAGCTGCAATTAATAATAATAATAACAATAATAATAATAATAATAATAATAATATGCAACTTCCAATCGTCTATCCTTGTTAAGATCACGGGATAACAACAACAACAACAATAATAATAACAACAACAACAATAATAATAATAATAATAATAATAATAATAAATTCAGTTGTTTCCCTTAATCGCACTGTAACGTTTAGGTAGCTTCCTCTTGACAGGTACGGTTGGTTTGTTGACTTACCACGGTATGAAATAAAATATTGTACCTATTCGTTAACGCAATTTTTTTTTCCCCAAAAAAGGGTCGTTTACATTAATGAGTCAATATGAAACAAAAGTATACTACAATACCACCTGGGTCTATTGAACGTGACCACTTCCCCAAACACCGTTTCACCAGGTAAAACATGTAAACAGGTTGTACACAGATAAGTCTAAAAACAAGTCTAAAGTGGGTTAAATTAATTTGAACAATACGCTATTAATTTAGATGCGTTATTCGTGTGGCCAGACTGTTCTAACATTCACCGTTGTAATGCACATTAATAATATGCAAATGCCTAGATTATAGTAATGATAACTAATAATGCGAAAAATTGTGCTTCTTGTATTTTCGCTGAGCGTCGGACTTTCTTGGTTGGTAGGTGCATGCGCACAAACACCCACAGGAACCTAATTTTGGAGATCCTGCGTTGTATTATTAATCTAGTAGCAAAGTTCTTCAAGTTATGCACTTATATCACACTTGCCCCCGCAACTGTAATACAGAGATCCTCAGACAAACCATGTTTATTATATCAGCAAAGGTTGAAGCAGTCTGAGTTTGTGGATACCAGTTCCTTATTTTATGAGGTGTTGTCAAACGTGGCAACGATAAGTAATACTACAATCTGAGAGACCAGAACGTGGTAATTAATCCCAAAGCCTTAAGTGTATTTCAGTTCAAGAGAAAAAAAATCGCTAATTCAATCGTCCGGAAAATTGAAGTTTGATGCATGAGTCCCTGCTGAAACAATAGGTCGCCCCATGCTCTCTCTCTCGCTCTCTCTCTCTCTCTTTCTCTCTCGCTTTCTCTCTCTTTCTCGCTCTCTCTCTCTCTCTCTCACACACACACACACACACACACACACATACACACGATCTCATTTGCCATCGCTCAGATGACGTGGAAAAGTTAAAGACAAACTAATGTATACACCATATGAATTATGAATATATATATAAGTATGTATTTGTGAACATAAATACAAGATAAAAAGTCGGTAGAATATGAAAAATTCATTCTTTAAATTACCGTTAACTGATTAACGAGGGAGTTCGTAAATTCACCTGGGTCTGTTATTCCAAGTGTGTATATGCAAATAAATTTAGAAATCAGTTTTTATGGAATTGTTTATTTTAATTAATTTATTTCATGATATAATTAAAGTAATTTTGGTTTATTTCCTATAATTAAAGCACACTGCAATGTATTACCGTTATACCGACTATTTTACATATACATATATAAAACAGAAATTGTGTTGTATGCATCTTTTATTTTCTGTGCGGTAGAATATGAATACAGGGTATATTTTCTACTAAATTTCACCGAAACATGTTGGTGGTCGGCTCGGAGATAGCAACACACACACACACACACACACACGCACACACACGCACACGTGCACACACACACACACGCACACACACACACACACACACAAAAACACTTTTTATCGACTCTGTGCTAGATGGCTTGTCACTAAAGTGCATGATTTGAGATGAGAAATGACCTAGATTAACCTAAGGGGGGAGCTTGATTGATCACTAAATAGGGTGAATTTGAAAGTTTTAGTCATAACGTTCCTGTAGAGCCCGTTAATACTTCAAACTTCAATTTTACGGGCTATTGAACTAAGCATGTCCCTGACAAAATTGATATATGTATTAATTTTCTTCAACTGTTGATTAATTACTCTCCACTGAAAGAATTATATGAAACACTTTGCCTTGAATTTGCATATTAATCAAATTCTACTTGATAATTCACACAGAGCAATAGATTTAGGGGAATTGTGAAGCATAACTTGAGGAAAAAAACTATGCGGACCCTAAAATATTTTTTCCTCTCCCTTACTGCTAAGCTGCTTGTCTAGTGTATTAAAATCAAAGATGCAGAACGAGTTAGCCTAGCTATTTGGTGAAAACAGAAATTGCCTGTCCAGTTTTATGATGTGCTCGTGCTGAGCAGGCAGATCTTAATGTGTCCTGTCAAAATAGCGAAGATTTAAAGGAGCTGGAGGCTCTCCTCAAAGCGCCGCTAATTTATGTGCGCGTGCGTTTGTACGTCGACTGTTATCCTAGTTGTAACGTTCTGAGAGCTGTCAGTGTCCAAATAACTGAGTAAATGTGCATATACTTGGCAAGTGAACGGTAATTTCAAGCTTGGAAAATCAAAATCATAAAGTAACGTTTCAAAAATAAATGTAAATGTTTTACAAAACAGATTGCAAAGAAGTCATTACATGTGCAAAAAAAATCCTAGAAATTAAACCAAATGTTGAAAGGAAAGGCGACTAAATTACATAACATTGTTAGCAACAACAGAATAGAATTTCATTGATATCGATAACCGCAGATTCAAAAGGACAGTATGAGTTCATTGATTAGTAGAATGAACATAAAAATAGGCCTACGTAAAAATATACTAAAAACAAAACATTTTTACTCTATATCTTTATGTCTCTGTGGGCTATTAATGTAAGCTCAGTTATTTCAATAATACTTTTATGAGTGACAATAATATTTATCATTAGGATCATATTTTTAAGTAATTTAGAGTCAAATTTAAAAAATTATCCCGGCTTACCAATATCCAACCTCTATATATAGGGCAGAAAAACATAACTATAA